ATATAATATATATATATATATATATATATATTATATATTTTATTTTTATTATTATTTTTTTATTGTGAAAACATACACAACAAGGTATTTGCCAACAACTTCCCCATTTACAGCTCAGGGACATTGATGACATTTTTCATGTTGTGCCACATTATTGCCATCCTTTTCCAAAACATCCCACCACCATTACCATAAACTCAATGCCCTGCAAACAAAAGCTTCCCCTTTCCCCCTCCCTCCTACCTCTAGTAAACATGAATAATAATAATAAAAATATCTATCTATATTTTTTCAACCTATCTAGGAATTTTCCTCCTCTCACCTCCCTCCCTGGTAACCAACAAAGAAAGTTTCCTTCTATGTATAAACCTGTCCTTGACTTTTTACAATAGTGGACTCATACAATATTTGTCCTTCTGTGATTGGCTTATTTCACTCATTGATTTGCTAATATTTTAATTGTAACCCATCTTCATTATGGGAGCTCTGGTGGCGTAGTGCCTAAGGCACTTGACTGCTAACCAGAAAGCTGGTGGTTCAAACACACCAGCCACTCCTTAGAAAGAAAGTTGGGCAATCTACTTCCGTAGTGATATCGCCTCGGAAACCCAAGGAGAGGTCACTATGAGTCTGATCTGACTCTATGGCAGTGTGGTTTTTTTTGGTTTATCTTCATTATTGCAATTCACCCACAGTGTCCTTTTACTGCATGGTTCTTACCAGATTTTGGTTTTAAGTTAATGCTAACTTCATAAAATAAATAAGGGGCTTCCCACCTGAAAAAAAAATCAAATAGTTTTTGAATGATCTATTCTTTAGAGATCATAATTTAAGTTAGAATTTATCTATAAAATCAACTGGGCTATCATCTTTGGTATCTACCGCCCCCCGCCCCAGTGTTCTATTTCTCTTGGGCTGTGATTATTAGTGCTGTCCATCAAACACGTATGTTCCTCCTTGGCACAATGAAGTTGGATGCAGCCCTTTGACTTGTTTTGATTAGTGAAAAGTGAACGGAAATTCATTTGTCCTGGGCATCAGAATTTTTAAGAGCTCCCAGATGATTTAAAAGTGCAGCCAAAGTTGAGAAACGCTTATGTAAGAAAGGAAAAAAATGGTTAAGCTGCATCTCTGAACTAGAATCTAGGGCATCGCGTCACAGAGAGAGGGTCCGTGGGGTCACTAGGGTTGGTGTCACCCCGTACAGTTAACTCACGCCATCACCTCCTGTGAACCTCCTCCTGTCCCAGACCATACAGAATCCTTGGTAACGTTTACTGTCAGTTTTAATCTTAGAATAATATGTGATAACTATAGCTGTAAATTGCTTACATATATTTCTTAGATTATATTAACAATAAAATTGTTTTGTAAATCTTTCTACATTGAATCACATTACTAGTAACTAAGCAGAAGGCTTTTTTGATTTTTCTCCCTCTATTTCTTTAATTACTACTTTGTTCTCAAAAAAGTTATTGATATAAGTTCATAAATACGAATTACCACATGTTGTAGCTAAAACACCAGAAAATTTGACAAAATCAGCGCTTATTAAAACACCAGGAAACAAACCAAAAACATTTGTTTTGGGTCCGCAGCAGCCATGAAACCAACAGCGCATGCTTGCAGCGTGCAGACGAACCTGTGTGACTGCAAGCGTCACTGGCAGTGGGCACAGACCACAGCTCTGAAGGATCACTACAAGGTTCAGAGTAAATTAGCGCGGAGTTTTAGCCACACAGGTATACAGATGCATGCAAGCTGGCCTTACGAAAAGTCTTTTTGTTTAAGTAACTATAGGAATATTTTCATAAAAAAGTAACAGATTTCTGCTGAAACATTGCCCCCAAATTTTACAGACATTTAGTGTCACCCCTTCTGACAGTGTCACCCGGTGGTGCACACCCACCCTCCGAGGGACGCCCCTGGAGAGGGTACCTGAAGCGGCTTTAAACAGGCCCTTGGCCACCTCGGGAAGGCTCTCCCAAAGCCCGCGTTCAGTTCCTCTCCCTCTTCCTCCTTTGCCTGCTCGCCCCTTCCTTTCCTCCCTCCCCGCAGAGCGTACAGTTGCTGGGGGGGCGGCCTCTCGTACACCCCGGGCTCAGGCTTTTCTCCCTTGCAGCACAGAGGGATGCGCGCCACGGACCGCCACCGCGCGGTGGGCAGATCCGCAGGACCTGTCACCGGGTCCAAAGGGCACCCGTGGACGGCTGGCGCCGCCTGGTGGCTGTCTGCGTGCACTGCAGCCTGGGCCCGCCACCGCCGCTGAGGAGTTGTTCAGAAAGAGCCAGGTGCCCCGCGGGCTCCGCAGGGTCAGGACAAAGAGGCCTCGGGCCACTTCGGAGGCCTCCTTCAGAAGACCTGGGGTCACACTGGTTTCCTCGGATTCTCTGTAGGCCTCAGGGGCCAGATCAGGAAGGAGCGAGGTAGGGAGAGCGACCCGAGGACGCTGTAGGGGGCGGGGAAGCGTGCGTCTGCAGTCGGCCTGGCGAGGGCGAGGCTGTGCAGATGCTTTTCAGACCCTGGGCGCCTGGAAGCCCCCCGCGCTCTCTGGTCTCAGGGCCTGCAAGGGACCCCTGTTGGCAGAACCTGCAGCCAGTGGGTGATTTATTTTCTCTACAGTTTGCAGGTGAGCGGCAACACCCCACGCATTTGGTCCGCAGGGGACATTTGTTTTTCACAACTGGGGTGCGGAGATGCTACCGGAATCTAGTGAGGCGAGGACCGGGGGTGCTGCTAATAAACAGTGTAATGCACTGAACCCCACCCAACAAACAACTGTCCAGCCACACCGGGGGTGCTGCTAATAAACAGTGTAATGCACTGAACCCCACCCAACAAACAACTGTCCAGCCCCAACACCAGTGGGGCCAAGGCTGAACCCAGGGCGTAGAAACAATCCTAACCTCAGATGAGCTTAGTGCCTGCTTGTTTGGAGACACTGCACTGCTGCCAAGATCCCTACAGGCCCCAGGGCGATCCCCACAGATTCTGGGCACCTCGTTAAACTGTAGATCCTACTCAGTGTACCTGAGGTGGACATGCAAACACTCAGCAGAAGGCTGAACCAGAAGGCTGTTTCAAACTCCTGGAAAAAAGTCTCCTGTGTGTTCGTCTATTTCCAGACGCGGCAACGCAGCTACAGGAAAGAAGCGATAAAACACAAACAGGTAAGATTCCCCTTCGCTGGTCCCGCCGACTGCCTATTCAGGGGGAAGCCGGGTCCTGTGGCTGCCTGCTGGGAGCTACTGTGGATGAGCCAGGAACCTGGAGATGTGTGCGAAATGTCTCATTTTAAAGTAACACTAAGACTATGTGGACTGAACACATTGTTATGCAGCCTGATACGTCCCGTGTGCTGAGGGTTGGTCTCAACCTAGCCTTCAGTCCAGCCCCATGACTAACAAGAAACCCACACAGAGAGACAGAGAATGACTACCTTCACAGACCTCAGGGCTGAGCCTTACTCACCAGGAAGCCTCCCTTGTCACCAGGAAGCCCACTGCCAACAGCCTGCACTCCACACTTCCCAGTCCTCGAGGTGCTAAGGTCAAGAGTTTTGTAGTCCTGGGGGGGGGGAGGAGTGGTGGTCTGGTGTTTAAATACTTCTCACCCTTCGCTCTGATCTCAGGTGGAGCTGGGCTCAGATTATAGGTGAGTCAAGTGGGCCCAGCTGTGTGGAGGGGAAATGCAGCAGCCTCAAATCTGTGGGCTTACACGGCTGAACTACAACATCAGTATGAACCCATGATTTAAAGAAACAAACCACAGCTTTCTAGTTGTTACTGAGGCACCCTCACATACACATCCCTGTGGAATGATCTGAAATATGTCCGATGACCTGGCTGTTTGTCTCTTACCCGAGCTTTCCCTGCAAGGAAGCAGTGATCGTTGTGAAGTATCTGATTCCTCGACTTGGAACAGGTGCCATTTGTAAGCTTGGAACATCTTATTGCCAGAATGTGAGGATACCTCCTTAGATTGTAAAGTGTTACCTGTGAGAACAGGTGGGCCAGGTGTAAAAAGCTCACATTGACCAAGATGGGACTATTTGGGCAGCAAAGGAAATTTCAATTAACAATTAATGAAAAGAAATGGTTTTCAGAACACGAGTCCATGATGATACTCAATAGAAGAAAATTACAAATTTCTCTGGAAATAACTGCTACATTTTGATAAATACATTCAGAAACTATGAATTATGTAAAGTAAGCATGTTTATATGTACGTTACAAAGACTAACACACTCACTGTCAGGAAAGAGAATTTAAAAATGTAATCCCCATGCTTGAGACACCCTTGTCTAGCACTAGAGAGAAGGCTATTACTTCCAAAAAACCAACCTCACTGCCATAGAGTCGATTCTGACTCATAGCAACCCCCATTGGGTTTCCAAAGCTGTAAATCTTTACAGAAGCAGACTGCCTAAGTTTTCCTCCATGAAGGAGCTGGTGGGTTTGAACTACTAACCTTTTGGTTTGCAGTCAAATGCCTTAACCACTACACCTCCAGAGCTCCTTCTGCTATTACATAGAGGACATAAAAATGTATTAATTTAGGTTCTTAGTCTTGGGGGAATCTTTGTGCTTGTGTATGCAACTAGCATTTAATATATTAAAATTATAAATCATAAAATCTAAGGTTTTAAAAAATTCTTTAAACTCCAACTCATATATCTTATTTTCTTCATAAACACAGTGGTTTTGATAAGTGTTTTCCCTAGTTCTTTGATTTATGTTTAATTAATATGTTAAATTCCCTCCAATAATTAGATCCATTTACAAACCTAATTAAGTAAGTGCCCTTAACAATTTAGTCACATTTAAAAATTTAACTTTTCTGATGCTATACAGAAGGAGCTCTGGTGGTGTAGTGGTTAAGGCATTTAGCTCCTCACCAAAAGTGGTTCAAATCCACCCACTGCTCCATGTAAGGAAGGTGAGGCAGGCTGCTTCCATGAAGATTTACAGCCCTGGAAACCCAGTGGGGGTCGCTATGGGCTGGAATTGACTTGCTAGCAGTGAGTTTGGGTTGGGTTTTGGTTTAGGAATGCTATACAGAGCTGACTTTATCAGCCCTTATGCACATTGAACTTATGTATGGCTTCTGGGAGGGGGGAGGAGGCATAATGCAGCTTGAGTTCATGTGGTTCTGTACTCCTTGACAAGATGCAACAAATCTCTCTACCTGGTTACATTATGTTCTCTTTTTAAGCTTTCTTATTTATCCTATTGTCTACCATTCCAGAATTATTAATTAAAAGAATTACCTTTATAATCTTAAAAAAAAAAAAAGACCATGTTTACTGGTCTGCTAGAGCCTGGCGAGACCTCTGAGACTATGCGCCTAGTTACCCTTCAGGTCCAGAACTGAACTCACTCCGTGGCTTCCAGCCAACAATAGACAGGCATGTGGGGTGAACATTTACATCAGGTAGATATGCTCCTTGGACCAATCAATCGTAGGAGAATAGAAGGGCAGTGTTCTCACAGGGAGACAGCTGGTGGTGTGTGTGGGGGGAGTGCATGGGAAGGAAGGACACAGGGAAGAGGTAACTATGGGGAGGCAGTGGGAAGAGAGCTGTTACACTGTGGGGAATTGCAGTCACTGTCATGAAACAAAATGTGTATGAACTGCTGTATGGAAAATGACTTTGCTCTGTAAATTTGTCACAATAATTTTCTTATTCTTTTTTTTTTTTTTTTTTTTTAAAGAATTACCATTTTAGAAATATGTTGGCCAGCCTGCACGATGGTCTCCAGTGATCTTGGACTCTTGGTATTATGCCCTCCTGTAGTCCCTTCCCAGGAGCTCTGGTGATGCTGTGGGTAAGCATTTGGCTGTTAAACAGAAGGTCAGTGGTTCAAACCCACCAACTGCTCTGAGGGAGGAAGATGAGGCAATGCACTTCCATAAAGATTTGTGCCTTGGAAACCCTATGGGGGTCGCTATGAGTTGGAACAGACTTGATGGCAATGGGTTCTTTTTTGGGGGGTGAGGGTAGTCCCTCCCTTTACAGATTGTCTCCCACTTAGGACATATTCGAGTTATGATGAACCACATTTACAACCTGTTCATTTTTTGTACATCGTAAGGTCCATATGGCAAGAATGGTGAACCCAGAATTAATACCGCTGGTGTGGAATACCTCAGAGATCACCAACAAGGAGAATCGACAGATCAGGACTTCATGGATTCTGAAGAGGAAACACATGCTGAAGAGGAAAGTGATCATGAGGAAGAGGAAGGAGAGAAGTCAAAAAAATGTATAGTGAAAGATTAGCTAGACTTTTTCTTAAACTAAAGCAGGAGTTTTAGTTGCTTGAAAATACAGACCCCAGTGCAGGTCAACAGGCAGATTCAGAAAGCGGTGAGATGTTATCGCAAAATATCTGAAGAAAAAAGTGAGGACCACACAGACAACTCTCATTGATTTTCTGACTAGAAATGCCATTCCCATTCCCAGAGATTATCCAGAACCTTCCACAAGTGGGGTTATTACCGTAACCGACAAATCGCCAACATTTTCCAACTCTTCTTCATCATCGGAGTAAATTTTTATGATTTGTATATTTTTTACGTATATAAGTATGTAATAACATAAAAATACATACATACATTAGAGGAATACATCTAAGTAATTATGTGTTACCACCATTCATCTGACAGTTTGTCCTGCCGTGGAGGCTGCATGTTGTTGTGATGCTGGATGCTACGCCACTAGTATTTCAAGTACCTGCAGGGTCACCCACGGTGGACATGTCTCAGCAGAGCTTCTAGACTAAGACACACTAGGAAGAAAGACTTGGCAATCTGCTTTTTTAAAAACTGGCCACTGAAAACCCTAGGAACAGCCCTGAAACGTTGTCTGATATAGTCCCGGAGGATGAGCCCCTCAGGTTGAAAGACAGTCAAAATATGACTGGGGAAGAACTGCCTCCTCAGAGTGGAGTCAACCTTAATGACACAGATGGAGTAGAGCTTTGGGGTTTAAAGCATTTGCTGATGTGATGTGACTCAAAATGAGAAGCAACAGCTTCCAACATCTATTAATAATCAGAACTGGAATATATGAAGTATAAATGTAGGAAGATTGAAAGTCATCAAAAATAAAGTGGAATGCATAAAGACTGATGTCCTAGGCGTTAGTGATCTGAAATGGACTGGTATTGGCCATGTTGAATCTGACAATCATATGGTTTACTATGCTGAGAATGACATATCGAACAGGAATGGTGTCACATTGATTGGCAAAAAGAACATTTCAAGATCCTTCCTGAAGTACAATGCTGTCAGTGAGAGGATAATGTCCATACACCTATAAGGAAGACCAGTTAATATGACTGTTATTCAAATTTATGCCCCAACCACTAATGTCAAAGATGAAATAATTGAAGATTTTTTACCAACTTCAGCCATCTGAAATTGATCAAACATACAATCAAGATGCATCGATAATTACTGATGATTGGAATGCAAAAGTTGGACACAAAGAAGAGTAGCTAGAAAACATGGCCTTGGTGACAGAAAAGACACCAGAGATCACATGATAGAATTTTACAAGACCAATGACTTATTCATTGCAAATACCTTTTTTCAACAACATAAATGGTGGCTATATACGTGGGCATCGCTGGATGAAATACACAGGAACCAGAGCCATTACATCTGTGGAAATAGATGATGAAGAAGCTTAAACTCATCAGCCAGAACAAGGTCAGGGCTGACTGTGGAAACTGTGCATACATAAGTTCAAGTTGAAGCTGAAGAATGTTAAAACAAGTTCATGAGAGCCAAAGTATGACCTTGAGTATGTTCTACCTGAATCATGAGAGCATCTCAAGAACAGAAAAGATGCACTGAACACTAATGAACAGACCAGATGAGTTCTGGGATGACATCAAGGACATCATACATGAAGAAAGCAAAAGGGCACTAAAAATACAGGAAAGGAAGAAAAGACCAAAATGGATGTCAGAAGAGACTCTGACACTTACTCTTGAATGGAGAGTTGCTACAGCAAATGGAAGAAATGATGAAGTAGAAGAACTGAACAGAAAATTTCAAACAGTGTGGCTCAAAATGACAAAGTAAAGTATTATCATGAAATGAGCAAAGACCTGGAGTTAGAAAACCAAAAGGGAATTACATGCTTGGCATTTCACAAGCT